TTATTACGGTGTATCCATATAAATGGCCCACCCTGTACTTTATGGGAAGCACTGAAGACTGTTTTGAGGGGTGAGATAATTTCTTACACTTCAGCTCTTAAAAGAGAAAGAGAGAAATGTCTGTCGGAAATCAATAGCTTTCCTGTCCTGGAAAGAATGTATCAAACCTCTAAATCGTCCATGGATTATAAAGAGATACTGAAATTAAAATATGAATATAATGGCATTATGAGTGGCCTAGTTAGCAATTTACTCTGGAATTTGCGACAAAAGCATTTTGAGTTTGGGGATAAACCTGGTACGTTGCTAGCACGACAGCTTAAGGGTGTTCAAGAGCAATATGCGGCATCAAATCTAAAACAGGAACTCTGCTAACTAACCCTATTGATATAAACTGTTGTTTCAGTGAGGTCTAGAGTGATTTATATTCTCTTAAGCATAATGTCTTGAAATCCGATCTTAATGGTTTCTTCAACTCTCTCCCACTACCTAAACTGAGGAGCTCTGACCGGGATTATCTCGATTCTGAGTTTACTCTTCAGGAAGTTGTCCAGGCTATAAATTCATTCCCTAATGGCAAAACAGTGGGACCCCACGGTTTTGGTTCAGAGTTCTATAAGACATTTTGCGACATTCTTGCACCACTTGTGCTTAGGATGCTGCGCAACTCAAAAAATGAAGGACAATTGCCTAAAACTTTGTGCAAAACCAATATTGCTCTCCGTTTGAAAAAGTGAAGAGATGGGACTAATCCTGCTAATTTTAGGCCGATAGCACTTCAAAATTTTAGTAGTAAGAAAATTACAAAAATCTTGGCTACTAGATTAAATAAACATTTGGCATCCATTATTTATCCTGACCAGACGGGGTTCATCCCTGGTAGACTTTCCTTTTTTGACATTAGGCGATTACTCAATATAATTTATTCCGACTATAAAAATTGTAAGGGAGCCTCTGTTTTGGCCCTGGATGCACATCAGGTCGAGTGGCCTTACATGTTTGAGTCAGATTTGGATTTGGTGAATCTTTCATTTCTTGGGTGAAATTGATTTACACAGAACCAATGTGCTGAACAATCAGTTCCTTTGCTCCTCAGCTTGATCACCTTTCGGTAAACTATCAGGATATAACATCAACTGATCAAAGAGTGAGTTTATGCCTCTTTCCAACAATAGCTCGCCAGAATTTATGCTGCAAGATCCATTTAAAGTAGTAAAGAATCCTCTACCCTACCTTGGCCTGACCATACCTAGAGATCCCAAATTATTATTTAAATTGAATTTCACTGAGTATGTGTCAGGGCTAAAGCAAAGCATTGAATATTGGAAAACACTGCCCTTGTCAATGAATGGACGCATCAATTGAATCAAGATGATTTCTCTCCCCAAATTTTTATATTTGTTTCAAAATCTTCCCATTTATCATACAGTGGCCTTTTTCAAAGATCTGGACGCAATCATTCAGTCCCATATTTGGAATGGCAAAAGGGCCAGAATCTCTAAAGTGCATTTGCAGAAATCCAAGAGAGATGGAGGGCTTGGCCTGCCAACTTTTAAAAACTACTACTGGGCTGCTAATATCAGAGCATTAGTGTTCTGGCAGCAGGACTCCCTGGATTACCAGGCATCGACCCCCCTATTGTGGATTAGAATGGAAGCCGTATCAGTGAACAATTCCTCTCTGTGTTCCCTATGTTATTCACCAAGCTTGGAAAATTAGATTCTTATAAATGTCTGGGTTTTGTATTAAAACAAACTATTAGAATCTTGAATCAGGTTAGAAGTTTTTTAGCACTGCCAGACACTTCCATACAGACACCAATATGTTTTAATCACGATTTTATGCCTCCTTGGCAAGATAACATTTTTTACGGCTGGAGAGAAAAGGGTTTAGTGTCTATTAAGGATATGTATATTGATAACACATTCTCTCCTTTTGGCCAACTAAAAGGGAAATATAATCTGCCGCATTCACATTTTTATAGGCATTTGCAGGTCAGGCGATATGTCCAATCCAAGTTTAAAGAGTTTGCAACTCTACCATCGGAACATGGCATCTACGAAATACTCTAGAGCCAACCTGATTCCAGACATCACAAAAATTGTACAGATATTTGGTGATTCTATCATGGTGCATACTGCTGGGATTAGGCAGGCTTGTGATGAAGGTGTCTGAATCTATGTGGAGTAAGTGTCTGTCTAAAATCCATTCTTGCTCCCTGAAGAGTAGACGCCAATTAATTCAATTTAAAATCCTCCACCAATTTCACTACTTTAAGATCAGACTGCATAAGATTTATCCTTCTATCTCCCCAATGTGTGACAGGTGTAGATTGGCAGAAGGTACGTTGTTCCATGCCTTTTGGTCTTGTCTCTCATTAACAGACTTTTGGTTTAAAATATTTGACTAGTATTCCAAGGCATGTATGAAACCTCTACAGGCTGAACTTGAGCTTGTAATTTTTGGATGTTCTCCAGCGTCAGAGCTACTCCTGGTTACAGTGCAGCGGCCATTGGAACTAGGTTTGATTGCTGCCAAGAGGTTAATCCTGAGGGAATGGAAGTCCCCCACTCCTCCTTTCTTTCAGTTGTGGGTAACAGACATGATGTCCATAATACAAATGTGGTGTTTTGTGAAGTGCATGTTTGTCTGAATTAATTGTTTTTTCTGTAACACATCTGAGCCAGTTTGTTTTTGTTTGTTTGGAGTTTGTTTTTGTTTTATATTTTTAAAAATTTTAAATTAAATTATCCAAAAAAAAAAAAAAACACGGAGGAGGAAGTGTGATGGTCTGGGGCTTTTTGCTGGATCCAGGGTCGGTGACTTGTACAAAGTGAGAGGCACCCTGAACCAAAACAGCTAAGGAGGCCACTCTGATGAGTCAAAAGTTTAGAACAGCGGTACTGGCCCGTGAGTCTTTCGGTACTGGGTAGCGAGATTTGAGGCTCGGGTGCGAAATTTATGGTTTTAGGCATTTTTATCGGTTTTTATCATTATTTTTTTAAAAATCATTTTTATCATTAACTTGGTTTCCCTGGGTCTTTTCCCATGTGTTATGAATAAATCTTCTTTTTTTGGTACCGGTACTGGTTTTATTTTGGTGAATTTATCCATGACACCTTAAAGTCCGGTCAGTGAAAATGTTGTTGGACATAAACTGGTCCGTGGCGCAAAAAAGTTTGGGGACCGCTGGTTTAGAATACATTTTGGTCTACAAATTTATTCCATGAATTTTTTCTTTTGACTCCAGTTGCTTATTTGTACTACGCTTCATTACAGAGTGCAATGTGACAGTAAACTTCATAATTTTCAATAAAAAACTGGAAAAATTGGGGTGTTTTAAAACTTTTGACTGGTACTTTTCTACTAAAAGTATACTTTCTACTTTACTAAAGCTAAACTTTCATGATCAATTTCAGTTTCATCCTGCCAGTAAATCATGCCGCTATGTTCTCATTTCAGGGAGGATGCAGAAGCTCCCAAAGCCAAACTAGTGAAGCCCAACTCCCTCTCCTCATCTCGCTCTGGCAGTTCCCATTCGGGCACCTCCTCCACCCAGTCCATGGTGCACAACTTGGGACCTCAATGTCAGCGTGCCTTTGTTCCTGCTGTGGCTGCCCTTAACAAGAACTGCCAGGGTTTCCCACAGTCTCCACCTGAATGCCATCAGAAGATTCCCAAGATCCCTGAACATCTTTTGCACCCACTTCCATGTCTACCTCTCACTCCAAACCCAGTCACTGTTGTTATGTTTAAACCAGCTCAAACCAGGGCCTTCCAAGCCGTGTAGAAGAAAAATCCTGTTCCTCAACTTACTTCATTCACACTGTGACAAAAAACTTTCAGCAACTTAACTCTTGAAGAATTTCTGCAATATAGAAACAGTTTTGTTCTGGTGTCATTTATTTGTACACAGTCACCTCTGTAGGTTTTAGAGAGAGATTGTTAGGTTGTTAAAAGTATATTTCAGTATACTTTTAACAACCTAACAATCTCAAAGACATCTGTTAACACCTGTAGTTTTACTTTCTGACAAAAGTTTAGGTTTTTACAGATTTGGATATGATGCACAGTCTCAGAGGTACTTATTGAAAATTTTTAATTCAGGTTCATGGACCAGTTCTTACCATTGTTCACTTTTACATGAAAATGCAAAAATACCTGCAACACAGTCTGATTGCAGTTTGTAAAATACTGTTGGCCACAAACTAATTTGTGGCCATGGACGTTAAATATTGTATTTTTTAGTTGGATCAAGCTTCACTGCAGAAAGAACTATGTAGTAGTGCTTGCATAAGTCAGAGGACCTAAAAACTTCCGTCTGAGAGGTTTTTTTTGTTTGCTTTGTGTGGGACCACCAGGGGACTCCACTCACATCCAGCGAGAAGGGAAGAGGGAGGGGTAATGTTTTTGGGTTGTAGGAGGTGTTTGCTGCCTTGTGAGTTCAGTTGTGTGAAGCTGAAATTAAAGTTGGAGTAAAACGTGATGAGGTCTTGTGTCATCCTTACGTACCTCCACATTGGTGACCCCTGAGACGAACATGCTGAGGCCTGAAGAGGAAACCGGCCCTTTCCCAGAAGCATCTGTGGCGACCAGACTCCCACCTCTGCCTGCACCTGCGTTTGCTTTGGTAGTTAAAGTACAGGACTTTTGGCTTCACGACCCTCCTTCATGGTTCGTGCATGTCGAAGCTCAGTTTGCTCTTCATGGAATTTTATCTGACGACATGACAAACATGTGGTGGCCTCATTGGCCTCATTGGACTCCGCTGTCCAATGACCCTCCTCCAGAATCCCCCTGGCCAAAGGAAATACACCGCTCTCAAGGCGCTGCTGCTGCGGCGCCACTCCCACTCCGACACAGAGAAAAGAAACTCCTCTCTCTCAGGCTTAGGTGATGGTACCACTTTCAAGCTCATGGAGAACACGCTGTGCTTACTGGGGATGGATGACATAGAGTTCCTCTTCACACATGGTTATCTCCGACAACTGTCCGCTTCTGTGTGGGCTGGCACCCACACTGATTCTCCCAGAGGCCTCTGGCTCAGTGACAGTGGCTGGGATCACAGCACGACGTTTCGGCGCCAAAGTGAAGATTTAAGACCCAGGGAAATGAGCCCGCCAGTGGTCTGTAGCAGACGTGACCAGGAATGGCTGCTCTTCATAGAAGACTCACACTTGGGGAGACATTTTCTGGTCGACTCTGGCTCCCCTCCTGCCCTCGGCTGGTTCTGACAGGCTAGCTAAGGGCTGTGTGCAGCTACTAGCAGCGGCTAATGGCTCCCCCATCAAAACATTTGGTGAAAAGTTGGTGACCGTTTGTTTTCATTACCGTGACTTCCAGTTGAACTTTGTGATTGCTGCAAGCTCTGTGCCGATCATAGGCGCAGATTTTCTTTGTGCTCATGACTACTGGTTGATGTTGTTAACAGATGTTTGATCAATGCTGTGTCATTTTCTTCACTGCTATGCTAATCTTGTAGTTTAATGTAGGTTCATGTTGATTGCATGTTGGATGATGTGTTTTTGGGGAATACTGTTAAATATGTCAGAACAAGATCTAGAGTGGTGGGTTCTTTTACAATTTGAGAAAAACAAACTTAGTCTAATTCTGTCTAATTAGATTAAACACAGGAGTGTCGATTAATTTAAACTAACATAATCATCCTGCTCTAACAAGGTTTCCATAAGGCAGAGTAAATCAGTATGTCTATCATTTATTAATTCATGTACTAACAAGAACTTAGAAGAGAGAAAGACTTAATGTTTAATAGTCACAGTTTTTACTATTTGGGTACTATATTGTTCTCTTTTTTTGGTGGTCTGGGACCAGGCACTCTTTAAGTGGATGTGGTTTTACAGGGCTAACAGGTTATTCTATGATTAAGCATTTCTATACCAATGAGTGTTTTTGAGGTAATGGTGCCTCTATTCATAAAGAATGAGCTACTACCCTAAATACTAAAGACTACGCTAAGGCTTGTTATTATATAGCGCTTTTTTCCTCTGTCTGAGCACTCAAAGCGCTTTATACAACATGCCTCATTCATATGTTCACACAAGCACTTTGTTCTATGCTTAAGTGCTTTCTGTCTAACAGTCCAACTTCACTGGAGGTATCAGAGAGCAATTTGTGGTTAGTTTCTTGCCTAAGGATATTTGGCATGAAAACTTGAGCTGCCAGGGATCAACCTTCCAACTTTCTAATTAATAGATGACCTGCTCTAACCCCACTCTTAAAAGCCTTGGAGAAGTTTGGAGCAACAAGAAGGTCACTTGGTGTTCGCTCTCTCTGCGGTAGAGCATCACTTCCTGTTCCTGCTCAAACACAGTGGTGTTTTTGAGTAGCTTATCTGCTTAGCAGTTTAATTAAAAACTTTTAAATACATTCTTTTTTCATAGTATAATCTTCACGTGCTTCCTCCGAAGCACACTTTCTGTGTACTCACTACCTAATTTATAGCCAAAGTATTCACTCACCGTGTCTTTACTGTTTTGCTCGCTTAGCTTAGGTTGTAGCCGACTCGCTAGCAGCATGGCCTCTTCACCTGTCCCTCCTGCACTTTCCTGCTCATTGTGTCAGATGTTTAGTTACTCCTCGGCCTCCTTTTGTAGTAGTGATACTTGTAACACATGTAGCATATTTGCAGCTCTGGAGGCCAGGATTACTGAATTGGAGACTCGGCTTCGCACCCGTAGCTAGCCAGGCCCCTGTAGCTGGTGCAGCCGAAACAAAACGAAAGACCAAGACAGACTTCAATTCATTTGAAAGCGTGATGCTTAGCCTTGTCCAGCTGTGAAACTCAGAAACCAGTCTTACTTGTTATCATCTATCGTCCACCTGGGCCTTACACAGAGTTTCTCTCTGATTTCTCAGACTTTTTATCT